TTATTGTCAACTTCTTTTTCCAACGTGAATTTAGTTCCCGGAATGGTTGAATTGATTGTGTTGTGGAGTATTTCTACGACGACAAACGTGTCGTCTACGTATCGTACCCATAACTTAGGGTTAACTAATGGAAGAGCTACCGATTCCACTTTCTGCATTGTCAACTCGACAAGGATGCCAGATATGGGTGATCCCATTGGAGCACCTTTAGTTGTTGATAATATTGGTGATGTCAATACGAGAGAGTTCATATTCTGTTCTGCAATCAGGATACACCGGTTAAGACCTCCTGGTGTGAGGGTTGACAACGAGAAGTTCCATTACTGCGATAGGGAGCCTACAAGCGGCTCAGAGGTCGATATCAGTATGCGTTCAGCACCACGAGTCAATTGCTGTTCCATCAGCAGGTCTGGGCGCGCTTGAGCCACGCTCGGCTGAAGCCAATGAGCGGAGGGCCAAAAATCGATCGATGTTACGGTACTGCCGAGTCGAGAGCTGAGTCATACGCTGCACAGGCATTCGATTGAAAGGGGAATGGGGATTAGGCCGTCGTCGCCACGTCACAAACACCGTTATCACGAGACGTGACGACAGACATTTAAATTACCAATTTTAAGTATCTAAACGTTGTGCATTCTATTTATTCGCCTAGCCCGTTCAGGAAAATGTCCTTTTTGCATGCAGAATATAAGATATTTTCCGAAATACTAGGACAAACACAGTCTAGTTCATGAAATAACCGTAGCTTATTCTTCATCCTCTTCGGGGATGATGAATGCGATGTATGAGTACATTTATTGTACACTTCGGGTTGGGCATGACTGGCTGATGACGGCTAACAAGCCAAAAATGGTCACTCTAGTCCCCTTTGTCTTTGTTGTAATGCTGTTCCGCCGAGCGGCTGATGGTAGGGGCCGAGAGAAAACCCCTACGACACGACGGGACGAGTGAGTTCCGTAACGCGATCCGCGAGCGGCCCTCCAATATTTTATTGATTCGCCTGGTCGGTCCCGAATAATGTCCCTTTTGCATGCAGAATACGTTTACAAAATATTTTACCAGTTAACATTTTTATCCTATATTCCAAAATCTACTATGTTAATAATTGCCTTTGAGTTAGTTCGCACAATAAAGTTTGTTTGCCTTTTAAAGAGTATTCTAACTTCAAGAGTTTCACCAAAGAAGACTGATTGCACGCGAAAATTGCTTTTTTGTCCGGAAAAAACAGCGAGAAACGGGATGCGTACAAACAAGTTGTTTTTAGAAAAACCAAACGCTTTAGCTTCTTAAAAAAAATAGATTTGCAAATTTTCTCGACTACACGCCCAAAAGTGTTGCAATAACGACTAGAATTAATTCTTTGTCTAAATGTGCCGATATCCTCCTGACATGTGTGACAATATTATGAAAAACCGCCAAAATGAACATAATGGGATTTCGAATAAATGGAAAGACATGTTCTGCGGTCAAGTTTATATCTATGCATAAGTTAGAAACGGAACAAGCAAAATGCTAGCAGTTTGAGCAACATGTCGGTATTTCTATGCCTGCCCTTCTGCACATTCATAATTGTTACACGGAGACCACAAATAAGCAAATATATCGAAAATATCTGCCTCCCGTTTGCGACAGAAGAATTTACCAGCATTTTTCAGGAATTTTTAAGCATTTTTTCCCCGGTATGAATTGAAAACAAGCATGTACAGAATTTATTGGGGCCAATAAATTTCGTGACGGCCTTTCAACTGCAACCCGTCTCTGCATAACATAGGTAACGAATGAACGCGCACAGCAGTATGAATTTGTACAGAATGGCAGTGCATAGGAGCAAGGTCAAAGTTCAAACTAATCAATAATCAGATAAGACGTCCACATAAGCATCAAAAAGGAAAAAGAGAGACGAAATGTTAGCAACAAATCACAGTCAGGGGAAAATAGAGGCGTGAGATTACCAGGGCAATTGCAGATTGATCACGTGATCTAACTGCTTGCAAAGGTCTGGTTTCTCCCTCCGTATGTAGGCTGCTTCCAAATAACGCAAGGTTCGAGTTGTACGTGCTCGGACAAGTACTCGAAAGGATGCTTTAGGGTCGACAACATGACCGCTATCTAACAGGTGTTTCGTTATAGACGAACGGGGGTTCTATTTTCCTGTTTGAAAAGCCAATTAGGCAAATGCTCAGCGGCCCTGGTTGCCAATTGCCTTTGCGTTCGCCCAATGTACTTGCATCCGCAAGTGCATGTGAATTCATACACACAATTGGGGGTGGCGTGCATTGGCAAGGCATCCTTTGCCCGGTTAATTGGAAGGCTTTTTGTGGAACTGATGAAGATAAGCTCTGCTGCGTTGTACGTTCTTTCTATAGTGCAACGCAAGCGTCGCTTGATTGTGTTTGAGACGTTGTCACCCTTAAAAGGTAGACATATTATAACGGGCTTCTTCGGAACGGACTGTTCCGTCAACTTTGGCCGTAAATGGTTGCTGTACTTCTGAATGAAGCGTGCAGGATAACCACGATTAAGTAAGGCTTCTTTGATACGGGCAGTTTCTGTATCTATGGTCTCCCTGGAGTAAATATTTCTCGCTCTTTGAAAAAGAGTATGTACTAGATTACGTTTCCATTGTATTGGCGCAAAGCTTTTAAAATATAGGTATTGCCCTTTCCACGTAGTCTTGTGGAAGACGAAGCGTCTTATTGAGCCATCATCCTCTCTAAACGTCCAGGAAGGGTAACTTGTTAAACTGCTCCATTTCCATCGTAAATTTGATTTTGGGATGCAGATTATTCATCAGGCAAAGTAGGTCAGAGGCGTCTTCCTTGTAATCAACAATCGTGGATATATCATCCACGTATCTCCTGTATAATGTTGTCATGTTTAATTCTGAGGACACCTTATCTTCTAGGTAACCCATAAAAACATCGGCGAGGGTTGGCCCAAGTGGACTACCCATTGCGACTCCGTCAATTTGTCTGTTAAGTTCCCCAGGAAAGTGAAAAAATGGCCGAAAGTCCAGACGTTTTTTATTGGTCTTACCGTGTAAAAGGTAAAGTACGCGGGCACCCGTCAGCAGAATACGGTATCAAGACACTTCTTAAACGCGTAACCTATTAGTTTGTCAAATGACCG